GTCGCGTAGGAGATTAAACAGTGCTGGAGTGGATGGTTGGCCTGCTGCAGTTAGCGGTTAGGAGGGCCAATTACCGTGTCTGGGGACGTGGTTAATGAAGCTGGGTATGAATCTCTCCTTGTTGGACCAAGCAGTAGTTGGCACCACATTTTCCAGGGAGATCACAGTCTGAATTCCCTGGCTGGGACAGAACACAGCCAGCCAGCGTTACGGTCTGCAAATAATGTGACATTCTCAGCACTTTGTGCAGGAGCAGTAAGTCCGGTGCCCTGGAAAGAATGGACATTTTGCAGTGCTTTCTTATTTGGAAGGCAGCTCAGCAAAAAACCTTCAAGTTTAACAGAAATCCTTCTGAAATGGCTGTCTGTTCATCTTACTGACTGTAGGATAAACTGCCTGATACGCAGCAGTAGCGTAGTCTCTGAGCCCTTGTTCTTACTCGTTAATAGTCTCATCTGAGATACTTTTGGAAATTAAATTACCATGGAAATGGGGAGTAAGTTTCAGAAGTTACCAGTGTTTTAGGTTTTTACCTGCAATGTGATACAGAAAAATCTTTGTGTGTTTCTGTAGGGAGGCAGTGCGTGTGTCTGCCATGAGAGGACGGTGGGGTTGCAGCAGGTCCCGGCTGACCAGCGGTCGGGAGGCGGCTGTGACGATGCAGCAGCGCAGGTTTCAGCGTGGCCGGCGCAGGTTTGCCCTCGGCGCTGGCTCGGACGTTGTGCCCGCAGTAAAACCTGTTCTCTTGTCACTCGGCGGCTCTCAGCTGCGGTTGGCTGTCCCGGGGACAGTCACAGCTGGTCACTGGAGTGGCACAGACATTGCGTGATCAGAGAGTTCTTCTCCCAGTGTAACGTGGAACAACTAGCGGAGAGAACTGGGCTCGCTCAGCGCGGCTCCACTGTGTACGCAAGAAGGAGTCTGCTCGTTGCGCTCAGGGCTTTTGCCCCTGGGAAAGTGTACTGACCTTGGTATTTGTGTGGCTTATTCCACGTTAGATAAACCTCGTCTTGGAACTTCGGCTGTTCTGGGAGCAGTGTCCTTCAAACGCAGCCTTTGTATCTGTGTTAACCTAAGTTTGGGTAATACAGGGGCAGTTCTGGCTGGTTCGTTGTGCCAGATGGAAGAAGCCAGCAGCAGTAGATGTAAGAAATTCTCTGCTCCTTTCAGTGCTGTGTATTTGGCTGGGCGTTTTTTGAGTCAGTCCATAAGAGAAATGAAAAGCTGTAAGGAGATTCTTGTCTAGTTCTGTGCAGTTCAGTGTGTGAGGAAGAATATTTATTTCATGGAGGGTTAAAGATGTGAAACTCCCTTCATGAACAACACTGTTTTGCAATGTACTTTGATTTTGTGTGCAACTGCATTTTGCAATTAGTTGGAGGTTCATAAATCTCCATTAGTGCTTTTTGTTTTGCTGGAAAGCCACCAGAGGAACTACAGACTTAAGGGAGGAGAGGTGTGTTTGTGCTTCTGTAATGAGCCCAAAGGAAGAAGGCATCACATGAAGAATGAGAAAAGCCTCATGTTTCCTGTGATCGTTTCATTAAATGTGTTCCATAAAGATGAGATTTATCTCTATCTGTGTTTAAAAACAATTCCATGGAATCGTACAGATTTTTCAGTGTTGTTTGGAAACCTTTCCTCACTTTCTTCGTACACATCTTTTGTCTTAAATATAGTAGTTCTGCGACAGCTGTGGAGAGCGGTGCAGTGAATACAAGGCTTTCGGAGTAGTAGAATTCAGCAGTCTCAGAAATAAGCTGTCTTTGGCAGTATAGTGGGAACAATTATGTAAAATTAATTACTCAGCTCAAACTTTAGGCTGTCAGTACCTCATTGCCTGTTTTGGAAACACAAGGCACTAGAATATCATCCCTGCGAGGTGTCTGGCATTTTTATTCAGAAGAGTTTCAAAACTCTTGCTGTGAATCCACCTACAACAGTATGCACCTTCAATCCTCCTTCATCAGATACACCCTTAAATAATGACCTGTCTTCTCTACAGCTGCATGACTTTGCCTTCATAGATTTTCTTTGTCACTGCTCTCTGGTAGAAGAGTTGGTTGTTACCCTTTGTCATCTCTGGTTAATAGTTATTATCAACTTTTCAGCTTTGATGTTTTTCTGGGCAGCATATTTGTAGTTCAGTTTTTCTCCTCCGTGAGCAGGGAGCTTGCCAAGCTCTCCCCTGCCCCCGCACCACACACTACACCATTCCCAACAAGTTGAGACACTGGTTTGCACTGTGTGAGCCATTGAGAAGCTGCTGGATACAGAAAAGATTTTCCACCGCCTCCTACAGGCAAGAAGTTTTCAGGCTTATGTTTGATACACTGCAGTGCAGTTGTATTGAGCAATACAAATGAGTTTAAATCTGATAATTGAAAATTGCATGACTGCTGGCAAGAAATCACTAAGAAGCTTGTCCAAAAGAGAACATCAGAATCTTGCAGAGAAAGATGTACGTATGCGCATGGTCATTCTGTGGTTCACAGTCACAGGAGAGAAGGTTGGGAGGCGCTGCTAGCGGTCGCCTACGCCAGCTCCTGTCTGGAAGCTGGTCAGCTACAGCAGTCGCTCAGGGCTGCGTCCAGGCTTTGAGTGTCCCCGAGGGTGGAGGCTGCACAGCCTCTCTGCCAAACCTGTCCCAAGGTTCCATCAGCCTCACGGTGGACAGGGTGGTACTGGGGCAGTGTTTGCAGTCCGCTAACACATGGGCAAAGTAGCAAAGAGAAGTCATTTCCGTAAAATTCAGACTTAGTCACAATATTCTGAAAGAGACAAATAGTTGGATGTTGGATCTTGAACAGGATGTTCTCAGTTATTTTATTTTTAGTAGTAGCATTTGATTTTTAGAAATGACAGCAACCAGAATGATAACCAACATGTATTTTCCATGTCAGCAAACTAGGGGAAAGGCTTTTAATTTTCTTCACGCGCACCCACACACCCCATTCTGAACTTACCTTTATTAGTGTGGAACAATGTCTGGTGAGGTTTGAACATGCACTGCCCAAGTATCAAAAACATTAACTTCATTGCTGGATTGGACTTTAACAAAAAAAAAAGTCCTGGCTAAGTATATTCTGCCTCATTTTATCTGTCTTCCTTTTCTCTTTCTTTCTCTTTTTGTATTTCTTTCTTTCTGGCTGTCTTTTCTCTGTTTCTTTCTTGCTGTCTTTCTAGTATTAGCCTTGCATGTGTTGCTGCAGTTGCTATCCTTATATTTTAAAAAATACTTTCAGTATCTTCATGTAGACAGCTAAAAAAGCCGGTCTGCCCATTTTCTGAGGTTTGTACATTTTCAGAGACTCCAGATGATTTAATTAAAAACACCACCATTAGAACTGTCACTTGACAAATGTGGTGATGTGCATAAGCTATCACACATAAGCTGTTCGGAATCTTCAGACTTTTTATTCTTAACACTTACTAAATAATTCCACCATCTAATGTAAATTATTATTTCTCAGTGAATATATTGATAATTTGATTATAAAGGAAGCATTGCATTAATGGGCACCGATATATGTTAATTCCCAATGAATGATTGTTACATTATTCATGAAGAGACCAAACCAGTCCTCCTCAATGAAGAAATTAATTGAAAACATAGTAAAACATCATATTCTCACCTCAAAAACATGTTAATCTTTTCTGTACTTGGGAGAATGAATGACTGATTCAGTGGAAAAAAAGTCTTCTATTGGGATTGAAATGAAATATTTCCTTTGCTTATTTCATTGAAAAAAAAAAAAAAAAAGGTTGAGTAAACTAGGCAAAAGGCAGATACAGCTTTATTATTTTAAGGTCTTAGGATATTTGTTTGGCGCATCCCCATGGAGCCAAACCACCTTTGTGTAGACTCTGTACCACTAGATGTCACGGTTGTTTCACAGAGAGAATGCTGGAAGAATTCCTCTTTCAGGAGGAGTTCTGAAACAAGTTTCCTTTGGCTTTCCTTCATTAGTCATCCTACAGACAGCGTACGTGAGACAGGTCATTAGGGAGATGCTTATTATTAGGCAGAGTGGTCATTCTAAAGATTATTGGGTCAAAGTCTTGGTTTCTGTGGTGTTCTTCTAACATGTTAAGTACTTTATGGTTGCAAGTGATATTCTATATAGCAAATGATGTCATCTTGTAGCAACTCACATCGTTTCGGTGCCTGATTTCGCTCTCTGTTGCACCAGTTTAAACTGGGAACAATTTCACTTAAGGTAAGCTGTTGGAAACAGATACATGGGAGACTAAATATGAGTCTGTAGGTTTGAAACTGCTTTATCATTGGTACTCCAGCTCTCACAGAACTTGGCCCCACTGAACAGTGACCTGCCGTTGTCATTCGAGGGTTTCACAGCTCAAGTTTGTGTGTGCAAGCCCTGGGCGGGAGCGAGCGGCCCGTGCAGCACGGACAGGCTGTTGGTGTGGTGTCACGGGTGACACACAGGGTGTGCAAAGTCAGAATGCAGGTAATTAGATTCCACGGGGATCATCTCTCATCTCGGTGGCCAGCAGGGCTGCAGAGGTGCGGCCGTTCTGCGGGTGGTTGTCCCCGGCTGCCACGGCGGCTGCGGTGCTGCCAGCACGATGACTCTGCCAGGGAGGACGCTTGCGTGTGCGCTTCACGGTGGGCGTCACTCAGGGAGCATCAGGCTGGTTTAAACAGGCAGACGGGCTCTGGTGTAGTGTGGAGCCGATTAGAAAGTCCCCAAACACATCTCCCTGCGGGCTGGGCAGTGGGACCGGTGTCCGGCCACAGCAGTAACCCAAGGCAGAGTCCACAGCATTCCAGCCAGCGCGGGTGGGTATGAAAGACGACGTCTATCTATCCACACAATGATTTTCTTCACACCAGTGCAAACAGCCGTCAGTTCTGTTGTTTAGAACTACTTTTCTAAATAAGAGACGTGTATTTATGACATGTTGGCTTGTCATAAGGCTGCAGTACTTCTGCGCTGTTGGAACAACCCTTCCCTTACGTCCATCTGCCTTTGCAGGAAGCTGCGCTGTGCAGACAACTTCCCATGGACTCGGAAAGCATGGCCCCCCTTCAGACAGCTGTGAACCCACCTGCCATGACACAAGACATGAGGCCTATTACAAATAACGGATCCGACCCTTTCTTAAGCAGGCAAGTCCATGTCCTCTTCATTGGGCAATTGGTTCTTCTTCTCTACGCTTTTAACACCGTCTCTCTGAAGTAGTTCCCTATATCACCTCTTTTTGTACTTACTGTGAACAGGGGGTACGGCCGAGGGGCTGACCTGAAATCTTTCAGTTAGTACTTGTTATAGTTTGAGAAACCCATAACAATTTATTGTCATTTAGACAATCATTTTATCACCCGATGAGCCCTCCCCACCCAAGAAGGGGAATCAGGTAAAAACAAGGAAACCCGGGGGTTGAAATACAAACAGATTTAATAGAATAAGATTGAATAATTAACATTAATAGCACTAAAGAACCAATATTGATCTCGATACCAGTACAGAATATGCAACGATTATCCTCAGCCCATTCTATCTGTAGAAGCTGTGCACTCCCAGCAGCGGACAGCACATGTGGGACACTGCAAGCACTGCGGGAGGAAGGGAAGGGCTCTGGGCTCTGGCACGGGGGCAAGGGGTTCTCAGGATGGCAGCCGTCAAGGGAGAGAGCCAGCTTCACAGTAAACTTTCTAATTTATAGTGAACGTGACATGCATGGTATGAAATAATCCTGTTGGGCAGCTTGGGTCAAGTGCCCAGGTCTGGCTCCTCCTCATCCCTGCATCAGGCGAGCTCGAAAACACCGAGACCTTGAAACCCACACACCATAGCTGGCTAGAAAGTAAATATTTCCACAAATTCAGACATTAAAGTCTTCTAAAAGTGCAGTTTTCCCAGGCATTAGAAGAGAAATCAGTCCTGTGTCGCTCAAAGCAGGACAGTACTTCAGGAAGGAATCTTAGAAAAATCAAACAAATAACAGGTGGGTTTAACTGTACTGTAGGTGTATGCAGAAGACTCTAGGTAGAATAGGTACATTACCGAAGTATAAATAAAGTCAGATTTTTAGGCTATCAGAACTGTTTTTGTCTAGAAAGTTATATATTCATGTGTGTATTTCAAAATTTAAGAGTGGCCTCACTTCACTTGCTTTATATTTTGGCTGATGTAACGTGACCACGTTAGTGGCCAACATTTGAGAACGAGGCCTAGTTACTCAGTATTTAATATCTAACGTGGTGTCTTTTCTCCAACACCACGATCAGGGACTGTGTCTGGCAGAACATCTTTACTGAGGCTTTTTCTGTTTCGATGTGCAGTGGGCCATACCATTCCAGGGAACAGAGTACGGACAGTGGCTTGGGATTAGGATGCTACAGTATACCGACGACACCTGAAGACTTCCTCAGCAACGTAGATGAGATGGATACAGGTACAATACTCTCCTTAAAGTATAGTGATGCTAATAATAACTTTGTGTTATAACCAGTAATGTTTTATAATTGCACAACTGAACAATAATCTGTCGCTTTCCTATGCGGGAGAACAGACCGAGACTGTGGGGGAAAATGCCTAAAAGGTACTGGGTGGCTAGAATGTTCTCAGCTTTAACTTAGGTCCAGATTCTACCCTTTTATGTTAGACTGATACTCAACAAAATAAGTAAAAGATGGAAAATTTGAGCCTTAATTTGTGTTTTCATACCATAGTCCCAAGTTAGGAGGAGTAAAAATCTGGTGTTGGCTTGCATTCTTGGTACAAGTCACTGTGTTTTCTAACACTGATGAGTCTCATTAATAAGTCTCTTACAGTGGCAAAGTTGGATTTGCCTTCAGACAGAATATATTTAGCTAGTTCAGGTTTTGGTACATATTTATTTTTATATCAGTGTTCTCAGGGTATTTAAAATACTGAAACAAATTACTGGGAAATCAGCAAGTTTTTTTCCAGATGCTGAAGTTCTCGGCACTTCTTCACCTAAACTTCCTTTTGAAGTCATCTGAAGTTGCAAAGAGTGAAAGGTTTCTCCATTAAAGGATTTCATGCTTGTTATTATTAATTTATGGAAAAAAAAAGTATTACAATATTGCAGAGCTGAAGTGCTGTAATTTTTTTTTCGATTTCCACATTCCAAATGTCACTTTGTGCCATTCTGCCCCGCGGGCGGCACCGACCCCCGTGCAGAGCAGCCCGGAGGGTTGTGTCAGGCTCGGTTGCGGTGCTGCCTGCGCAGATTTGAGTGATCGCTGATCACTTTGAGCACTGCTGCAAAGGGCCTTTTGTGCTTTTGAGAGCAAGGCAAGGATATGAAATTAACTCCTACAAGAATACACATCTGCAAGCAAGCGTGGTTTTGAGGTAACGCTTGTAGAGGGCAGAAGTGTGCACAAGTGCTAATGGGAAAGGGGCAGGCTAATTTTTATATCAGTTGTGTTGTTTTAAATTACCTGCCAGAAAAGTTTGGTATTTGAAGAGTTCTTTCCTTTTCCTAGGAGAAACCATAGCGCAGACGGCAATGAACATAAACCCACAACAAACACGTTTCCCTGATTTCCTCGACTGTCTTCCAGGAACAAATGTTGATCTCGGGACTCTGGAGTCGGAAGACTTGATCCCTATTCTCAATGATGTGGAGTCAGTACTCAACAAAAACGAGCCCTTCCTTACCTGGCTGTAATCATTCAATGCTGGTTTGGCCTACAACGCAATTCAACACTTAATTTCCTCTTGAGATAGAAGTAGAATATCTGAAAATCCTCAAGAGATACAACTTTACTGCCTTAATGACTTTTGTTACATCATCTTTATGGTCAGTTTAATCTCTGCCTGGATTTGATTGACACTAACTTAAATATAAAATGCATACATATATATATATATATAAACATATATCCATATATATTTCTTCCTCTTTGAAAAAAAGCACACTACTTTATACATCTGTATACTTCTTTACCTTTTCAGACCAGGCAGAAACGTTTCACTTTAGGGACAGAAAAGCGAGTGGTGTTCATGCATGTCCCTGGCTGGTCTCCTGGGTGTAGATTAACATCACAAACCCGTTATGAATCACAAAATCTAACTACTAGGTAGGTCACTTGGTTCCAAACACGGCACAACACCGCACCACGAGAGCAGCTTTATTACTCTGTTTATGACAATAGTATCAGAATCTTTTTTATCAATTTACTTAAGCTTTAAAAATCTTTTTTTCATCCTTAGTAAAACTGTGCTGTGTGGAATATAGATTAAATCTGATCCATATCAGCCATAATAATTCTCATTATATTTTTGTAAAGGCACAAACAGTACTATTGTAATTTCCTTTTTCAGTATATTACTGTATAGTTTTCAGAAAATAAATACTTCCAGTCTGAAAGTACCAGAATTGTTTAGCGACATTTTTAGAGTACAGTATTGTTGCAAAATAAACCAGACTGGTACTGACTGCTGCCTTTTAAAAACAAAGCAATGTATTATAAACAAGCATTTTTTTAAGAGATCTTAGATTTTGATGTTTATTATATTAAGCACTACGATTTTGTAACTTAACACATGAACAAACGATTTTTTATATATATAAAATCTGTGGCATATACCTTAAATGCAAAACCATGCTTTTAAAATCAGGTCTGAAAAACGTGGCACTACTTGTTAATGTCATATGTGGTGGGAAAGAGCCCCTTGCTCGTACTGTTTGCAGTAATGCTTTTAACTGACAGCATCGAAACACATGTAGTTGTATACATGAGAAAAGATGGTGGCTTTGCCAGGGCAGTGCCGAGGCGGCGTTGTGACTCGTCTGGCGAAGCTGCTCAGTTCTTGAGTCTCTGGTGTGTGGCAGCGGGCGGACAGGACACGGGGCGCCTTCTGCACGCTGCTGCCTATGTGCATCCTGTAAACGCGTCTTTATCGGAGGTTTGGGACTGAGAAGGCATCAAGGACGTTAATCTTGCAGTTCCCCTGAAATGCAAATGAAGTCCTAAAATTCTTAAATATTTTGAAATTATATTATTTATAACCTATGAATTTAAGCTTTTTATATTGAAAAATATGTCTTTTTATGAAAGGCATTAAAACTTTTCTCTAAGCTTAACCCAGGCTACGTAGAGAGAGGCAGAGATGTAGCACTCAGTGTTAATGTGTTTTTGCCAGGTGTAATGACACTTAACCAGGTCTTACCAGTGCACCAGAAAATCGATCACTACAGACTTTGTCCATCTGGTTGGGTGAAGGCAGGTGAAAAGGTCAGAGATGAGGTGATGGGAATATGGAGTAGGTTTGGGGGACGCGTGATCACGTATCAAACGTGGGTCCTTGCCGGGAGGGGTGGCTGCAGGTGGGGGTACTCAGAGAACAAATCGCCAGCATTCAGTAGAAGAGGTGATAGAAGAACCTGATAGAATAAACGATGTTGTCTGTGATGAACGGCTGGTGTACGTGGTACCAGAATATGGAAAATAAAAAGCACGCCCCCCGAAATTTTGAAAAAAGAGATGGAAGGAAAGACCTACAGCCATGAAGTTGTGTTACATAGGGAAAAGTAGCTTTTTTAATGTTTGTTTGTGGGGTTTTTTTAGTAGAAAATGAGATGTGACAGCAGAGTTGTGTCTGCACAGAACCGAATTACTGAATGGGCATTGTGTTCCTTTTATTCTTTTGGAGTTTTTTTTCGTTGGTGTTTTTAATTATTTTTGCTAGTGCTAACTGTTGAGATAGCAGAAATTTCTTTTCAGCAAAGTGGGGACCGGGCAGGGCTGACCAATATTCCTGTAATTATGATTAATCTCTCTCTTTTAAGGATTCCTTCAGGTTGTCAGCCTAAATGAAAAATAGGTGGTCCTAAGGCTTTGTTCTTTAGTGACGTGGCTGACTTTGGTAAAAGAGTAGGAGCATTTTTGGCATCTGGCTGTGACGCCAGGCTGTGAGGCCAGCTCGTCAGTGCGGCGTGATTGGCCTAACGAACCGGGAGCCGTCGGTGCCGGAACAACTCACCGCAGCTGCAGGTCTGAGCTCCCGTGTGGTTCAGTTGATAGTGCTCATCGTTAGGTTATGTTTAGAAAATGCGGTTTGTTCATTTGCTAGTAAGTCTATACTGTTGCAAATTTAAGTTTTGTCATAATAAAGGATATTCCGAGCAGATCAGGTTCTCAGCGGGCGTGAATTAGCTGACCTGTGCTGACTGCTGTTGGGCTGCACTGGTTTTCGCCGGCTGAAGGCTGTGCTCTTACAGCAAACACCGATGCCGTTTTCTAGTGAAGTCACATAGCGTGTTCATCACAAGTGTGAAGCTACAAACCTGATTCCTCTTTCATCGGTGTTTCAGGTGGCTGAGTGTCTGGGCTCAAAGACCTTAAAGAGATAAAACGATCAGGAACTATGTTTCCGTGTTATTTCCATCGTAAACCAGCAGTGGATTGGGAACAGGAGGGTGCTGTGTGGAACATCACTTCCAGTGTAAAACCACTGCCAAAACCTGAGGTCAGATCTTCACTCAGTGGTGAACTAAACCATGGTTAAGTGACTCTTTACACTGTGAGCTTTTTATTTTGTAATGGAGAGGGTGTATCAGATAAAGTGCAGCAGCAATAAAATCTGGTTTTTAAAGTTCTCTTTTTCTAAAAGTTTCTGGCTTTAAATAGGCTTACAGCAGAACTTTTAGGTATTCAGTTCTTCTGAAAGTAAATTTATTGCTGACAATATTTCCCTGTACTGTTTCAGGTTTCGAACATTGACTTTACTAAATGTTCACTGTCTGCTTGTAGTATAAATACACTAAATGTGCTAGCGGGACAGTTCTACTGTCGACCACCACTGAGGGTGGCACACATAAGTCTTGGTGACACAGCAGTGGTGGGACATTGTTAATTACAGTTTGTATTCTGGTAATACTGCTTGAATGTAACGTGGGGAGGGGTCGGGTTTGAGTTTTTGAGAACAAGTGCTGTTTGGGGAAGGGAAGGATTAAAATGTCTATTTTAAATACAGAAAAATGTGGGTTTTCAAATAAACTTGTTTCCTAATATGCTACATCCATGTACATGGTAGTACTTTAACTTCTTTATTTACTTCTTTATTTACTTTTTTCATTTTGTTACATGACGTGTGTGAGCATTTGTTTTTGGTTTCGAATACCTTGCAACAGATTGTATGTATCAAAAGCAATCAGATCAAACTGTTGTATCCAGGGATTGGTTCTGTGGGGTTTTTTTTTTATTCTTTGATCTTGTACATGAAAAACAAATACAAATGAGCTTAAATATTTTGGATGCATATTGGTTTATTAAATTGTTTCTTTCTTTGGAGGATTTTAGCATGCACTTCCCAGGGAACTGTATAGCACTGCTTGGAGTAAGGGTACAGCCACTATTCTGTGCAAAGGCGTACATTTTGAATATAGATGACTAGCACCTAGCAAACGAAAGGCGTTATTTTACCCTTATGTTCCAGTTTATTAGTAGTTGTTATAGCCATTAGTGATGGTTACAGTTTTACTCATAACGCTTACACCTTACTCCCCAGTGCCACCATTACTTGTTCCTTTTAGTGGCACCTTGCGATTCCTAATTCACGAACACAAACACTGCGTTACGATTTGTTTAATACAGTTGTCGCTAAGTAGAAGAGTTAGCACCAAGTCCATGTGCTGTTAAGTTCTGTTTTGGGGACTTAAATAGTGCATTTTTTTCAGTCTGATCACTTCTTCAAGAAGTTTCTTAAATTCTGTATTAAGAGAATACGTGTTGTCTTTCCCAGGGACAAGGCGTGAGACCTGAGGACATCCTGGGCATTTGAGTTTTGGGCTTTACTGTCACGGCACGTAACATGGGTGATTTAGGTCCAACGCAACTGTTACTATTACTTAATTTTAATACTCTTCCTTGAATCATTCCCTTGCATAATTTATTCTAATTAATTGTTAGAATGCTTCTAACAATACCTTACATTTATATAAAAAAAGCTCTGGAACCTCCACCAAACAGAAATGCAAATTTGCATCTGACCCTGTTTTGAGAAATGTGTTTGTTAATTCGTGGTGTATTTACTCAGCAATATTAATCAAGTTTCTTTGGCAGAAAAACTAAGTGTGTTTTTGTCTGTAAAGGTCTCTCCGTTTGTCCCTAAAGATGCCAGCTCACATCGTGGGAGGTATCTCTCCCCCCTCCAGGCCGGTGGGCCGTGCTCCGTGCGGGTGCTTGCTGCCGCGTGGTGTTACCAGAGAGCTGTAATAAAACCCTTCTTCGGCGGGGGGGATTTGTGATGAGATTGTGATGTGCTGAATCCTCCCACCGTCTCCAAGGAGGCCCATCAAGGCTCTGCCTTTCCTGGGCAGCAGGACAGTCCCGCTGATAGCCCTTCTCACGCCTCACGCCGGTGAAGGAGCCCGTGGACGGGGTTTTCTAGGGGAGCGGTGTCCCCGTCACTGCGGGAACTCTCTCCTCTCCCACCACTTTCCCTAGCGGTCTGTCGCAAGGACATCCCCACAATGTTCTCAGTGTGGTACTGCAGTTAAAATCTGTCTTAAGCCTTTTTTCTACCTGATTCTCAAAGCTTGCTCATCCCTCTTGAAGGACATCCCTCTCGTCCCTCTGAGGCTTGCTGGCCTCAGCAGCGCTGTGTCCCTGTTGTGGTTTAAGCCCAGACAGCAACAGGGACCAGGTGGCCACGGGCTCACTCCTTCCCCCAGGAGGGTGGGAGACGAGGGGAAGGGAGAGGGGAAAAAGACTCATGGGTTGAGGTAAAGACGATTTAATAGAACAATAACAGAAAAAGAAAATAACAATAATAATAATAATTGTGAAAGAATATACCAGGCACATGAGGAGAGCTCCAACAGTGTACAGTCTGGCCCTGCAGGGGCACCAGTTCTGTCAGGCTGAAGT